ACCGGTTGTGGCCACAACACTTTGTCAAATAACATTTCTTTAGCTATGATTAATTTCTTTTTGTTTACTGCAACCCTTAATTCCAATCTCAACATGGAATATAAATATCACTGTATAAATACATTTACATCTTGTTTGTCTTATCCAGTATTGGTGACGACGTCGACAATTACAAAAGTGTCTTTCACCCAGGAAATATTTTAATTTATAATATTTCATTACGGAGTTATCAGTCACCACACCAATTTTAGTCTTTATTCCAAAGAATAATTAGAATTTCTCTTATGTCAAAACACATAAGTTCACATTTTTATCAATATTGAAATCCATTTATAATACACCGCATACCAAATTGATATTAATGACAACATAAATTGATTGTCAACTCTACAACATATGTAGACATGGAATCTCTCTTCCCCCACATTTGTGATAACACATAAATTAGCACAAACAACGTGATTCATTCCCAGACAAGTGTCACTGTTACAACTAATAATTCATTTTTGATGAATATTTGGGACAAAGAAAATTGAATTATCTTTTCTCATTCAAAAGATAAACGCCCACATTAATATTATGGTTCATGGTTAAACAAATTCTACTATACAAGTAAAATAATGATTGATGACATTTATGTCACAAACTCAAAGTTACTTTAAAAATAACTTTCAACTTGATTATTAACAAACTAATAATCAACATAAAAGATTCTTCAATCTACTTCCAATTAAATGGAATGACACCATTATTTCAATTATCATGTTTAAACTTTTCTAGTGTTAATGATTGTTAATACTACTATCACAATCAAACAAAAGGATTATTTACACATGAAATATACTTTTCGAAATAATACCCCACAAGAGATCCATTGATATGTCATCATCACAATCACAAATTAATTAAAAATTTCACAAACTGTCAAATAAAATTTAATTTCTATTATCAATTCACCATATACATGGTTTTAAATTTAAAAATCAAAACCCAATGGTCAAAACCGTATTTCAATACGTAGGACTCATCAGGAAAAAGATGCAACTATTCATATTTGCTACAAGAGAATAAATTATCATTTTAACATGGATTTGCAACTTACTCACAATTGCCTTTGGAACAAATAAATATATATATTGATATATATTTTAACATAGTGGTCTTATTTACCAGAATCAGTTTCTTCTATAGAAACTCACATTGAACAAGATGAAAGCCAATAGAAATACTTTCCTTAACAAAGTATTCTTTGTTGGGGTCATACCCTTTCCCGGAAGTGAAATCAACAAAACCATTAAATTTGATATTTGGATGATAGGATTACCCAAACTCAATTCACAACGGTTAAACAATTTGGGTCGTAACCATTATTAAATGAAACGTCACCTTTGTACGGAACACCAACATGCCGATTCGTTTCTCCATTCTCAACGAAGGAACTGGAAATTTCGGCACCACCACTTCGCCGACACAACTTCTAATTTCGTTCTTTGAAGAACGCATGATCCCAATATGAATCTGAGCCTTGTAATTTATCTTCCGAATGGTGCCAAGTCACAGGAAGGGTGGCGGTAGAACATCTGCAGTGGCCGCCACCGCTGCTCGCAAGCAGTGGAAAGTCAGCGATCTTGTTCTCGCCAAGGTCAAGGGCTTCCCAGCCTAGCCTACAACGGTAAGTGAGCCAGAAAAGTGGGGCTACACGGCTGATTGGAAGAAAGTAATTGTTTACTTTCTTGGAACCCAGCAAATGTGCCCTTATACCCCTCGAACATACCTGGACACCATAGTGTTCCAAGAAACTCCATACCTCTCAGGAATTCTATTAAATAAGCACTGGGCAGGTTTGTTATTCCAAACTTGCAATACATGTTGAACAATTTATTTAAATAAAAAGTGCTTAAAAGGGTGTGCACCTTTTTCATCTGAACCAACGTGACTGTTCAAACAAAAATACCAATTTGTGAATTGATGAGTGAAGTTTTGGAACAAACCCAATTGACTCAAAATACAATTTTTTTTCCACAACAGATTACATCAATAAAGATCTAATATATTATGATACATAGAAAATAATATATAAATACAAAACCAAATCATATACTGTTCATGAAATCTAACAAACAGGTTCTTCTAACGCACACCCATAATGGCATTAAAACATTCTCAGATTTTTAACCTGTGTCTCAATTTTGCTTTTCCTCTTTCAACCCAATAACTGCAATAACATTCCTCGATCCGAAACTTACTCCAAACTTAGATTCATCAACAACCAGTGAGTATTCTTTTTAATCACTCTACTTTTTGATGCTTTCATTTCCAATTTTCTCACTTCAATTTCAGTTAGTTATTATCATCAATTTTGGAGTGTGTTCTTGAACAAATCATCAAAAGGAAAACGAACAATTATGTATATTCTAAACCAAGAAAGTATAATCATAAAGAGCCCACCCAAATTGGTAAGTCTCCAATATTCTCCACCAATATTGCAGTGCCATCGAAGTACATAATAAATCAATTATATTTTCCCAAAAACCATAAATAGGACCGATTCTGTCTTAAGATTGTTTGATAAAATAATACCAAACTATAAGAAAAATATAATTTAAAAATATATAAATGCTTTTTGGGCAAAACCAAAAACTCAAATATATCAACATAATAACGTGATAAAACTTACAGTACGTAAACAGATAAAACCTGATCGAGTCGAGTGTATGACACTATTTCCTTAAGACAGATTCGTCCTCCCACCGGTGCTTAGGATTCAATGGACGTCTATCTCCCAGCAGCACTACTATTGCAAGCCTAGCGAATTTTGCTGTGCATGAACTCTCTTTATAGGAAAATTAGACTCAGGCAATATGAAGAATAAATGCAAAGTGAAGAAGAATGACAATTCACTGTCCAAAATGAAGTGAGGGACATGGAATATAAAGACTTCTAAGTGACTCTTCAGAAAGGTTGTCATCCTTCAAAAGGACACACCCTTTCATCTCAAGAGACACAACCATTATAGTAAATTTAAATTCAAATTTTCCATCACGCTGACAGCGTGTTTGAGATTTATTTATTTATTGTGACTTTCAATTTTTTGATTTTTTAAAGTTAAAAATGTTAATGTTTTTAGAAAATTATTTGTGAATGAAAAAATTTAAGAGAAATTACAAAAAAAAAAAAAGAAAAAAAAATTAGAGTTTGAATCTTGTAATAAAATAAATTATGATTTTTAAATTTTGTTACTTTAAATATTAATCCTTTGATTTTTTTCCAATCTAAACTATGTACCTATTTTCATTAACTATTGAAAAAAGTATATTTTAATTATTAAACACAATTTAGATATACAAAAAATGTCTAAAATATTAATTTCTAATGAGTTTATTGACTAAAATATATTTTTTCAACAATTTTACTAAAGAAAAAATAGACAGATGGTTTAGATTAAAAATAAATCAAATATTACGATTTAAAAATTAAAAACTCATAGGTCATGTTTGATTCACAAAATTAATAGTGAAGTATTAATAATCCTATTAAATTAGTGTGGTATTCACTATCCAATTAGATTAATATCCATTGGATTAATAATTCCACCCCTACCCCATTACTAATAATCTTACAAATTTGTTGGATTAATTATCCATTGGATTAATTATCCTAAACCAAAATGTTAAAACAAACATAGGATAATTGAGATTAATAATTCCAATCCCATGCTCTAATCCACTCAATCAAACATGCCAATAGTGTATTAGGCCATATAAATTGAAAACAAATCAAATATTAAAATTTAAATTAATAAAATTAAAAACTCATAGTTTATCAGGCTATTAGGCTCAAATCCTTGATTTTTTTCTTATTATAAATTTTTTAAAATTTTTTGTTACATTTGAATTTTTTTAACTAAAAACATATAATTTAATGGATTTTTGAAGCTAGATCCCAAACTGCCCTTTAATGAGGATGAGGGATGGAGGATACCTGAGCCCTACCTAAAAAAATAATCCATAATTTAATCATTGCATGATGTAAATAGAGGGGATAAGGGTGTTATTATTATTATTTTTTTGCGCTTAAAAGTAAGAGCAATAAGGTCATTTATCATATGTAAGTAATGTCATTTGTTAATATGACGAAATGAGAGAATCTTAACAATGTCAATTAAAATAGAAAAGATTTATATAATTATTCAAATCACGTAAAAAAATCCTTATATATGTTAAAAACTTCAGGAGGTAAGTGTAATTTATCCTCTTATTATTATTGTTATTATTATTAATAAGAGGTAACTGTATGAAATATGGGAGGAGGAGGTCGGCAGAAAAGGTGGGGATGAAAGGGACACGTGTTTAGCTGAGAGTTTCGGAGGGCTTATATGTTGGCCACGTTGCATGACACTTGTCCTTTGTTTCCATCCATCCTCCCTATTTTTATTATTATTATTATTATTAATATTATTATTCGAAGAGGAAGAGGAAGAGGAAGAGGAAACTGTTGTTGTCTTCTTAGATCCCCAAAAAAACTGAAACTTAGAGATCATCATCATCTCTTCACCATGAATATGGGAATGGGAAAGCGAACAGAGTTGTGTGGTGGTCTAATAGTAAGAAGGGAGTTGGTAATTCTGTTATTAGTGGTTGCAGCAGCAGTAGTAGTAGGGAGTAGTGGTAACGTAGTGGAGGATGAGTACGTGAGGGAGGAGGGGAAGGGGAAGGTGATAAAGGACAAGGCAGAAGAGAAGGCTGCAGAGATAGGGAGGGAAGCTAAAGAGGCTTCGGAGTCATGGGCTGAGTGGACCAAGGAGAAAATCACCAAAGGCCTTGGTTTTAAAGCTGGAGAGGAAGCCAAGGATGCTACTGATTCTGATACTGATACTGATACTGATACTGCTATGCACACCAAAGACGAGATTTCTGGTATCTATCTATCTATCTATTACTCCTTTTCATTGTTTTACTAATTAATTACCTACTAACTAACCCACAATTACTATCAATCAAATTCAATGTTGTTTTGTTTCTAACTAAAGCTAATAATCTCTGTGAATGTTTCTGCCGAAATTGGACCTAATAATATGTAAACACAGCATCATTAGAGTTAAAAAGAGTAGTGAGTGTACTACTGGCAGCTGCTCTCCCTTAACCTCCTCATGGTATTAAAATGTAGGTACATCTTTGTACCAAGGTAATTATTCAGTAATTCAGGAGTATAGACCCGTGGTATTCTATAGGATTGTGATTAGTGGATAAGGTGAATAGGTAAGGTATTATGTTAGGTGATTGATAAACACGGGGCATATTGAATAATAATTAGTTAGGGAGTATGGACACATGCTACTCCCGGATTATTGAATAATTTCTCCTGTACCAATTATGATCCATGATCATGGAGTGGAGGAGAGCATCTTAAATCCCGAGTGCAATTTATTTATTTATTCTCATATTCAAATACAAAAATATTGAACGGGGCAGGGGCAGGACAATACAGCGCAGACGAATCCGGAGAAGTGAAGAATGAGGAGGCAGCTGAGAAGGAGAAGTCATCTAACAAGATAGGAGAAGAGGCAAAGGACAAGGCCTATCAGGCTGCCCAGGAGGCTAAGGAGCAAGTATCCCAGAAAGCACATGAAACATACCACAAGGCAGAGGAAGCGAAAGAGAGAGCACCCCGAAAGGCAAAGGAGGGATTTGAAACTGCAAAAACGAAAGCGGAAGAAACCCTGGAGTCTGCCAAGGAGACCATAGCTTCCAACTACGAAACTGCCAAGAAGAAATCTAAAGACCTCAAGGATAGCCTTAACCTTGATGGTGGCAAAGGAGGAAGAGAAGGAGTAGGACCACCACCTCGAGATGAGGAGTTCTAACTCCCTGAGTTCGAATCTGAGTCCGAGCAGAGGGATGCCTCCGGCGTCTCCGCCAGTAGTAATCAAGTGTGGTTTCATTCCTGTAATTAATTCTGGCACTGTGGGCGGGCGGGCCGAGTCTATGTTTTTCTGTTTCATGCAATGTCGGTGGCATTATATACTTCACTGTGTGTGTGTGGTGTTTGTGTTTGTGTTTATGTTTTATGTAGCGTTTGGTTTCCGTTTGTTTATTAATTTATAGGGGAAGTATATTGTATGTTTTCTTTCTTTCTTCACTTTTTAACTCTTTGTTTTTGTTTTTGAACTGTGTTTGAAGGCATTTGGTGAAATTTCATTTAAAACTGAGTGGTATTGGATGCCTAATCATTACTTCACTTTTTAGCAGCTTATTGTTTTTCATTGGAAATTCATTATTAATTGGTTCATCCATGAGCAAATCTTACTGCTAACTTTTGGGTTAATGTGGAGGAGTTGCCCCTAACACACACACACAAAAGAAAGAAACAAAGACAACCAAGATTTTGGGGAGGCAGTTACGGAGATCCAGTTTAAACACAATCTCACTGTCTCGTATGGATTAGATGCTTTACCTGTTTTGGCCTTTTCTTCTTGTTTTTATCAAGATAATCTTATTTGAATGTTGTCTAGAAATAAAAATCCTTATCTAATGCATAGTTATCTGACCAGATCCCATCCCATCAGAAACATAGAATGCATAATTCAGGAAATATAGAACGAAAAGTGGATATGTAACAAAAATGCAAGAAGGGTCACGAAGATAGTGATTTTCAAGTTTTCAATAAGATCCAAGAATGTCTCTCTGTAGTGAATTTCCATTATGCTGTGAGAGTTTATTCTGGTCTTAATGAAAGAAGAAACGTTAACACCTTAAAATTAAGTAATTCACATTACCCCTACACAAATATTTAACTTATAGAGACAAACTAGTAACAAATGACATTAAACGAAAAGCCTGGGACTTAATTCTTTTAGATATAAGTAACTTCATCAGAAGAGGTGCCAAAATGGGGATACTAATCCTGCATGCATGAAGTACATCAAGACTATATCACTATATCTCTACAGAAACATATGATTCCCCCCAAAACAATCAAGACCAAAAGGAAAGAACTCTAAGCCAAAATAAAGGGACACGAGAAGGTTTCCCTTCAAGCATAATCCTCATTCTGAAACATAACTGCTATTTCTCTCCTTCCATAAACACGAAAAAACACATATATGCCTCTCGAACATCCATATATCTCCAAGAGGCAAACATGTCCTTAATTGTATGGGACATCACCCACTCAACACCAAAAAAAGGGTCGTTTGTTTTGTAGCCTCCCCCACCTACTTGCGCGTGTAACACTATTCTGCAAAAACTTCCCTCAACTAAGGGTTATCCAGAGTTAAATGGACTCCCTAGCTGCCGTCTAAGCAAAAAATTTGTCTTATGTTGTGTTTGGATCATGGATTTGTTGAGGGAAAAGAAAAAGGGAAAGATTTGTGAAAAACATTAGCTTGTATTTCATTTACTTTTCACTCCACAAATCTCTCCCCAAATCTAAGTTCCAAAATAGGCTTGCTTGGAGCTTTACAATGGCATGTTCTTTTTCAAGGAAAATATGAACCCCCCATCTTCCAAAAAGAAATGTAGAACGAACTCACCAAGAACACGTCAAAGGTCTTCAAGCCATGATATCCTTGGAATCTCCTTAGAAGGGCCCCAACAAATTCCATGTCACAGTCATTAAATGCCCTATTAAATTGGGTGTCCATAAAACTCCTGTAGTAGAAATACAGATAAAATCTGCCACAACTTTTTTATCCACTGTAATCCAACGCAAATCAGGAAGAAACTCCATCAAAGGACAATGACCATACAAAATATCGTGGCAGAAGCATACCCTACTATCATAAACATAAACATTTTATTTATTTATTTATTTAAATTTTTGTGGTGAATGGGGAAATTATTTTAAGGTGTCACTTTGGGTTTGTTTAGAATGTTGTACGTCAAATTTTGTTTTGAATTTGGAAAGGGGTGTGTTCAAACATCTCTCCTGAAGGAAGAAAGTGGGGGAGGAAAGTTCCTCCAAACTTTTTCTTTGTGAACAGTAGTTTTACTGTGGATGTATATTATGGCTTACATTCTTAATATGTTGTTTGAATAGGTTTTCAAAGGCAGAAAGATGCCTGGGCGCATGGGTGGCAAGCAACGGACAGTTAAGAATGTTTGGGTTTACAAAATAGACCCAGCAAGGAACTTGATGTGGGTGAGAGGCCAAGTATGATTCTTCTATCCTTTTAATCTTTCTGATGTGAATGCTTAGAATCTGAGTTAAAAGGCAAGGGATTGTGTTCTGCCTATGTGAACTATTGATATGTTTTTTTTTTTGTTTTTTTTTTTGGTGATATTAAAAAAAAATGAATAAAAAAAAAATTAATGAAAAAAGGGATGATGCTCACTTCCTCAGTTGTATAAATATTGAAATCTTGAGATTTGGAAATTTTTTTTTGATTTTGAAATTTTGAAGCCACACTCGCACTGATGTAGCAGATGTGTATTGCCAGTGGTGTGCCGTGTTGTATTGGAATATTTTTCTTTATCAATCTTCCCGCCTATGCAAGACAAGTTGATTGAAAGGTGGATGTTTGGTGTTTGGAGCTTTAACAGCCTGTGGAGCATGGTTTAGAGAAGAGAAACCCACCCAACTTCTCTCTCTCGGGTTGGTTCTCTTGAGTCAATGAGTTATCAGCCTTGTGATGCGGAAGGAGAACCCCTGCCAGGCACTGAATTGACAGAGGTCTGGAGAGTTGCTAAAGCTCCTCCAAATGACAAATTTCAGTATACATATTTTGCACACAAGATAAATAGCTTGGACACTGCACCTAAGAAGTTACTGGCTTCAGATTCTCGCTTGCGTCCAAATAGATATGCACTTGAGAAGGGTGATTTGCCCAAAGCAGGTTCAGAAAAGAGCCGTTTGGAGGAGAAACAAAGGGCTGAAAAGAGAACTAGAGAGACGAAGGGCGAGCAATTTACTCCAAGATGGTTTGACCCATCTAGTGAAATTGCTCCTACACCTTGGGGTGAATTGGAAGTTTATCGCTACAATGGAAAATATGATGAACATCGGGCTGCTATGGATAGCTCATCCAACATTGAGGAGACTGACATCGGGTCAATGGATTTCAATCCATGGCAGTACGGAAACTTGGCTACAGAATGAGATTTGGGTTACGGTCAGTTCGATGGAGCTGGTGTGACCGAACTCGTCCAAGGGGATGGTGGAGCGGCTGTCCGACCGGATCTCGGAGAATCAGATTTCGGCATTTGGGTTGTGATGAGGAAGAAGAGGACACAGATGAGGGATCCAAGGGAAGCCATTGTTGCAAGCAGACAGATGATTCAACTCTCTCGCTCTCGTTCTTCGCTCTTAATTTGATTGAATGAGATGAGAGCCTAGCTAGGCTACCAACGACTGGAATTAACATAGCATTTGGGTGTGATCACCTTTGAGACTGTATATACAGAAAAGGGGGGTTGAGGTCCGGCGGGCGGCTAAGACGAGGCTGCCGCCCGCCGGTGAAACAAAATTATTAGATTCTTAACCTTGCTCTGATACCATGTAAGAGAAATTGATAGAGAGAAAAATACAGAGAGAATAATTGTATCTATTGATATTATTATTGATTGTTGTATGTTATTATGTATTACAACTCCTATATATAGAAGAAAAGGTGGTAGTAGGTGTAGTGTAGTGGAGGTGGTAGGTGGAGTGGGTGGTAGTGGAGATGGTAGGTGGAGTGGGTGGTAGTGGTAATTTATATTTACACAATTTACATTAACAATTTGAATGTTGTCTAGAAATAAAAATCCTTATCTAATGCATAGTTATCTGACCAGATCCCATCCCATCGGAAACATAGAATGCATAATTCAGGAAATATAGAACGAAAAGTGGATATGTAACAAAAATGCAAGAAGGGTCAAGAAGATAGTGATTTTCAAGTTTTCAATAAGATCCAAGAATGTCTCTCTGTAGTGAATTTCCATTATGCTGTGAGAGTTTATTCTGGTCTTAATGAAGGAAGAAACATTAACACCTTAAAATTAAGTGATTCACATTAGCCCTACACAAATATTTAACTTATAGAGACAAACTAGTAACAAATGACATTAAACGAAAAGCCTGGGACTTAATTCTTTTAGATATAAGTAACTTCATTAGAAGAGGTGCCAAAATGGGGATACTAATCCTGCATGCATGAAGTACATCAAGACTATATCACTATATCTCTACAGAAACATATGATTTCCCCCAAAACAATCAAGACCAAAATAAAGGGACACGAGAAGGTTTCCCTTCAAGCACAATCCTCATTCTGAAACATAACTGCTATTTCTCTCCTTCCATAAACACGAAAAAACACATATATGCCTCTCGAACATCCATATATCTCCAAGAGGCAAACATGTCCTTACTTGTATGGGACATCACCCACTCAACACCAAAAAAAAGGTGGTTTGTAGCCTCTCCCACCTACTTGCACGTGTAACACTATTCTGCTAAAACTTCCCTCGACTAAGGGTTATCCAGAGTTAAATGGACTCCCTAGCTGTCGTCTAAGCAAAAAATTCGTCTTATGTTGTGTTTGGATCTTGGATTTAACATGTAGATAATAATATTACACTGTTGAGAGTTTGGAGCTAACCTTTGCATCAGCACTGAATCCACTCAAGAACTTCGCCTGAATGTATCCATTAAGTCCTATTAGAGGCACCATGACTAGAATAATAAGAGCCAGTAGCCAGTTTGCTTGGAAAGCAATAACCAAGCCAACAATTGCTGTTGCAGCATTCTGAACAATCAAAGAAAGTGAGTCTCCAACCAAATTTCTCACAAGGGTAGCATCCCCAGAAAGCCTTGCACTGATTGCACCAAACTAGCTTGTCTCCATGTGAACCAGTTTCTCAAAGCACATTAATCGAATACGTTTTATTAACCTACATCCTGCCATACAAAAAAAGTATGTTCTTACTGGTGTTACCAATAAAGCTGCCACACCAAGTACAGGAATCATTAATGCCCAGAATTTTGAAACCTTTCAAAGCTCATGAGGTGGCTCGTAAAAGATTTTGATTATGCTGGCAAGAAGCACTCCAAAAATTGGCATTATTAAACCATGGATCACTGCAGCAGCTGAACCTATAATCAACATTGGGATTTCTGGCTTGTTCAGATAGGCCAACTGGCGAAGTGGGGCTTGTGGGACCACTGCCTGCAATGTTGCTGAAGCAGGAGTTGTGGGTTCTGCAGTTGTTGTCTCGAGGAAGTTGATTGCAGTGGGTGCACCAAATAAAATGGAGAATGAGTGGCGGCTACTGTTGCCAATTCCAGATGAACCTTGACTTAAGGATCTTAAGGACACTCACTGACTTGAATGTCTTCCAGAATCCACAATGATTTCTGGTCCGTCCTGATCATCTGCATTTTTTTGTTCTGAGTCTTTGCTAAGTTCCTGCAAGCGTAAAAGCTGGCAAAATGCGCCTTCTGGATCCTGTATTAACTCAGAGTGCGAACCTGATGAGTTTAAAGGGATTACCATTAGCATATGTAACAAAGTTACAAAGGCCAGGCACTTGGAGTGCTACAACTATTAAGACAATACCAGGAAGTAAAAAAAAAAACCTTTTTCAACAATTTTTCCTCGATGAATTACAGCAATCATGTCTGCATTCTTCACTGTCCCTAAGTGATGGGCTACAATGATGGTTGTTCGGTTGATCATAACCCTTTCCAACACAGCAAAAATAACAATAAGCACTCATCCTCCTGTATAACCCTTGTCTATTATCATTTTAGCACCATACCAAACTGCAAAAGCATAATTGCAGTACAAAAGAAACATAAATACGCCAGAACCCAAACCAAAAGCCAAACCCGCTTGCACACCAGATCTGTAAGCTTTAAGAAGAGACTTCTTGTATTTATTTATAGCTTGCCTCTCCCCTGTAAATGATGCAACCTGAATGGGGAAGTTTATCATCATGAACATAATTCCATAATAGGAGGGAGAGAGAGAGAGAGAGAGAGAGGGGAGATGCTAGATTCTTCTCAAGCAACTCTACATACAGTTCTAATTGACCCAATTGTCTGTTCAACCACAGTTCCTGCTAAAGAATATGCTATTTGTCCACGGGATGTCATCTTTGCTGTAATAATAATCATGATGCCAGTAGAGATGATAATAGGTGGAACTGAAGATAGCAAGACAAGGGTGAGAAGCCATCCCTTGATCAAAGCTATTACAAAGCCTCTGAAGAATGAAGCTACCAGCTGTATAAACTTTCCAACCTGTAGCAAATACATGTAATGAGAGGAGAAGTGTATCATTTTGATTTTTGTAATAACAGATTAATGCTAATAATTTTGGTCTTCAGTGTCATAAGCTAACCTTTTCACCCATGGCATCCTGAAAGAGAAAGGTATCCCCTGACATCCAACTAATGATTTCTCCAGTGGTAGTTTCCTTGTCAAAATATCCAATTTCTTGTCTCAATAGAGTTCTCAAGTATAAACTTCTAATACGGACAGATTGTCTTTCCCCTGTGACCATCCAGCATGCGACCTCTTTCCAAAACAAATATAAGTTTCTCAGTGTCTCTTGGTTTGGTTTAAACAACCATATACACTATGTAATTATGATATACTAGATTAGAAATTGGCACAAAATCCAAAGCACTTATGGAAAAATGATGCAAAACCCGACCCCAGGGCCAAGTAAACATACTTGAGAGATACCTGAAGATAGGTTTATATGTTAGCAGCATGCCAAACACATAAACTTGATTGAATAGAGTTCCAAAAAAATTAGCAAGGAATTTGTTTTAAGCTACATGATACCTTGGAAAATTGATGGGTGTTCACAGTCTGTCCAAAGGAATCAATTAACTCTCCCAATAGCACAGACATAAGAGGCATGCAGATGCCATTTCCAATAGCAGCCATTGTTCCCACAAGCGTTAATACATAGTCAGTGAAGTCCGCAAAGGAGAACAGCTTGTATAATGGAACAATATTGGCGACCTCCTTTTTCTTTTGGATCTTGTCTGAATCTTGTAGACTGCCACCAGAATTTTTCGGTGGTTTTCTGTCTCTCCATCCCTGGTGGTGAATGTTGTGCTGATGCTGAGGTCTTTCTTGTATTTGTATTTTCGTTGAAACCACTTTCCTTGGTCATGTTGTTGACGACTTGTGTACTTGTTGTCCAACTGTTAGCTGTCACTACCTTGGATATCTTGAATCACATCCGTGAAAGAAAAGTGGCTATTTGAATCAACAACCTACTTTTAAGCTATGTTTGGATCATGGATTCAGGGAGGGATTTGCTAAGAGAAAGGAAAATAGAAGAGAAAAGTGGGAAAAAAAAATTAAAATAAAATAGAAATATTGTTAGCTTATTATATTTCATTCACTTTTCATTTCCCTCCACAAAACCCACTCAAATTCATGATTCAAACACAGCCTTAAAGCTGTAGAGCTTTGAAAGATTACCAAGAAAGAAGAAACTGAATTCTAATGACATCTGAATATGAATGAGTACTTCAGCCAAGAATGCTTCTTAAGTTCATTGAAATGAAAAAAGCATTAATGAAACAGCATTACTCCTTGATTTTAGTATAGTTATTTTTCTTCAAATTCAAATAATCTGAAGCAAATAGAAGATGAAAGGAGCGAGAAACTTAACTTGAAATTCAGGGTGCTGCTTCAAATTTATTCCTCACAGCCTGCACAGATATCCCACAAAGGTAGTACCTAGCTTTGTCATTAAAAGCCACACAAAAAAAACTTTTAATGAATGAAACAAGCAGATGCAAGAAACAAAAGAGGAAATACATTGGATTTGACTGGATTGGATGGAGATGTGCTACATAGGACCATCACGATAGGGATAAACAATTATAGAAGATCATGGAAATTCAAAAGATTCATATCATTCCCAAAACAAACCTGAGTAATTAAAAAAGAAAACAATCCAACTTTGTAGCCACTTTGGAAACTGGAGAAACTTACAATACAAGAGAAGTGGCTGGCAGTTCTGATGGATAGGCTTAATATCAATTGTTTAGCTTTAGTCCTGACAGCTTAAGCTTTTGGGAATAGTGATAATTTAACATGGTGTTATAGCTCAATTCTTGCAATTTGCTTTCGTATGTCAAACCCTC